AACAACTTCGGGGGTCCAACCTTTCAAATATGGGCTTATTGATGGGGTTTCAGAAGTTGCCGAGTTGGGCGCAGCAGTGCCACGACCTAAGTTATTTCAGATCGATGATTGAAATAACGAATTCGACCTAACGACCCAGGACATGTAACAATTCACCGTATCTTTCAGACCAGTGAGGCCCCGCATTATGGTGGTTCCTCATTTGATTTCCTTGACTTCAAGACCTTCAAAAACAGTACCCGCAAGAACAATAACTTGGCTTGGGGACCTTGGTTTCCCTTCAAGCAGACCTGAAGACGGTTCCTTCGAACACACCACCCCTTTGGCCTCGCGGCTGGATTCCGAGGCAACGGCCTGCTGGATTTCACCCGGAAGTGGCGGTATGGCGGGCCCCTGGCGCCGGGGTCCCGAACTCGCCCCGGAAACTTGGGGCCCCAAGACCTGAGGTTTCCGTGTCAGACTTGGGCACATGCTTTGCCCGTTTTGGTGTGGCATCTTCGGGGAGGTGTGTCTTTTGGTTCGGCTTGGCTTATCGTTTTCGGGGCCTCAGGATGATTGCAGAAGAGAATCAAGGTAGGCCAAATCTGCTCATTAGACTCTTCAGCTTGATGGCAAAGGACGTAATGGTTGGCAACTGATTTGGCAGCTCGCAGACAACAAGTCTTCCATTGCACGCCAAACCGTCTCGCTTTGGAGTTCCGGCGGAGCCTTTGAGGTACATGGCAGCGTGCCTGGTCTTGATGGGCGCAGGCAGGGTGTTCGATGTATTCGGACGGTGCTGCAAGGTAGACGAGCGCAAGTCAAGTCGTTTAGAGCCTTTCTCACATTCCAAAACACCCAAAGCCTGAGTCAGCCTGAGTTGCATGCATCGTAGTTGCGCTGTCCTGCGCTGAATAGCCAGGCTGAACGGACAGAGGACTGACGGGCCAGAGCAAAACGCCGGCAAAGTATTCAGACACAGCATGCAGGCAAACTCTGCATCATGAATACAGAATAATTACACACAAACACAAGCACAAGCACCAACACAAACACAGCTTCGAACGCAACCACATACACATCCAACCACAATGACATCCAGACTGATCGATTGCAATGCATTTCATGCTTTGAGAAGTTAGAGTTGGGCACCAAAGCAAATCAATCAAGGGTTTTGATTGCTTTGCTTGGCCTGGTGCAGATCAGCCAACCCTTTCCACTCGTGCGGAAACGGTGTTGTTTGCTCCAAACTTTGTTATTCACATAGGATCTGGCTGTCCATTCTCGCCGTCTTGTTTACTTCTTTACGGGAACCAGGTGGGTTACGGGGTCGCCCCGCCGAAGCTTTGGCTTTTGTTCCAAGCTTGCTAGGCTTGGCGGCAGTGGCAGTGCCCAAAGAGCCCGGGGTGTACTCTGTGGTGGCGTGGTGGCCCAGTGGGGTTTGGGGGGGGGGGGGGGGACAGTTTCGCTGGCTTCCAGATGCTGGCCTAGGGCCACAATAGCAAGATTCCTGTTGGGATCCTGCCTGCAATCAGGTACCTCTTTGCTGTTGGATTGTCGGTTTGAACCCTCAGTTCCTCTCACCCAATGGGCGCTTCTCTGGTCCTTCAGCCTCTGTTCCCTTCCCTGGCCACGGACTTTGAGGCTGTTCTTTGCAGATTCGTTTCAGGGGAGGCCGTTGTTGGGGTCCAGATCCCTGAGACGAGTCCATGCCCAAGTTGGCTTCATGCGCCCAGATCCATCGATCCATCTCCCAGGGGATGAACGTCTTGTGCAGCCTGGGGGCCGGGGGCCTGCTGGGCATCACTCCCGCGGCGCTGAGGTGGGGATGTGTTGGCCGCTGGTGGCCGGTGTTTGCTTCCCTTGTTTTTTGTTTTGTTTTGGGGGGGGGGGGGCTGAAAGCAGAAGTTGTGGTGATTCGGGGGGTTGGGATGATGTTGGCATGTTTATGCTGAGCAGAACATATGCTTGATCCTTTGCATGGCTTGTTTCTTGGGGTTTGAATGCAGCTTGGCGGATCTTCGATGCGATAAATGGACTTGCTTCTGTGTTTGCATGCGTAGAGAAACCTCCGGCCGGATCCGTTTTGCGGCAGGGAGCAGACGCCCGGTTCGGTGTAGGGCCTGTCACGGAGCGTCACCCGGAGGCTCCTCTTCGGTTCCGGCTCGCTGGGCCTCATCTACGGGCCGCCCGACTCAAGACCTTGTGTTGACAGCTCGCCATGGGAAGGTTTCACTTAGGTTGCTTAGGTTTCATTGGACTCCGCAAAGGATGCGTCACCTGGAAAATGGGAGGTGCTCAAGATGACTTTTGGAGGACTTGACGTTATTGGGCTCTGTTTCGTTGGTCACTCAGCCAGGGCTGATTTTTGGTCCATGCTTTCTGTGGCATAGTCGGTGGAATGCTTGTGGGACATATGCCTCTCCCGTGCATTCTGCTGCTTTCCAAGTGTCTTCATCTCTGCGGTGGTTCCCCTTGCCGTGGGGTCTACGACTGTTTTGGGAACGGCTGGCAACGCTTGAGCTGCCGCCTGAGCGCAAAGGCTGTGCTCGCGGAAGCCTCAGCCAGCTTCGAGCAGGGCGTGTTCACCCGTACCCCAAGCGAAGAGTGCTTGTAATGACGTCAAGTTCTTTAAAAGTGACCTTGAGACGCAGGGGCCTTGAGCCATGTTTGGAGGAAGCAGCGCAGCGAACAATTTTTGTGCAT